GGGGGCTAGCTTAAAACTGCGATGCCGTTTTGTCTCAACCATTCCTTTGTCCGCTTCGATATGTGTTTCGGGTCATTATCTTGTTGAAAGACCCATTGAAGGGGCATATTAAACTCAGCATAAAGTAATAAGGTTTCATTTAAAATCTTGGTGTATTGTAATGCATCCGTTCTACCCTCTGTCTGAAATAGCGGACCTTTTCCATTATATGAGAAGCACCCCCAAACCATTATACTCCCACCGCAATGTTTTATCGTATTTTTATTCTGTTTGGGAAGGAATTCGGTATTGGGTGGTCTTCGCACAGAAAGACTACCTTGGTTTGAGTTGAATAAATTCACTTTGGTTTCATCTGACCGAAAAATGTTTCGCCATTTACTAACTGGCCATTCAGCACGATCTTCGGCAAATTTTACCTGTTTTTTTTTATATTGACTATGGTCAGAAACGGTACCTTCCGAGGAACTTTAGTTTTCAAATTGTTTTTGATTTATAACTATCGAATGGTAAAAGCATTCACATTCAAAGAATATTGCTTCTTAAGGGCGGAAGAGGTCACAAACGGATTTTCTCTCACCTGACTCAGGATTCGCCTTTGAAAAACCGCACTGATTTTGGATATTTTACCTCTATTTTCTAGTTTTTCTTTATAATTTATTGCATTCGCAACCATTTTTGTTTAGCAGCCAACTATTCGAGCTATTTCCTTTTGGCTTTTGATTGTAAACTCAAAGTTTTTATCAGTTTTCGGCATTCAGAACTGCAGTGCTTGGCTCTTCCCATTTTTATACCTAATTTATATGAAACAACAAAATTTACATTAAATGTGTAAAATTAAAACGCTTTACTCACGTTTTGTTGAAAATTTTATCAAATAAAGTTTTTTCGCTTCGCTTGTTTAATTTTATCGTTTGGCTCTATTTTAACGCACACGTCATTGCACAGTCAATAGCACACTTTTACTGATTTGCAAAAAATGAACTCGCAATTGACTTCAGAAATACTTGAACAATATTCAAAGACGATGCTATTATTTATCTACCGTTAGTTCATAAAATATTAGGTTCACAAAAGCTTTTAAATGAAGTAACATCGTCAGCGATTGTGTGGCTTTATTTTATCGCCCATCACTGCAGTACCAGGATGTCACAAGTGTATTTTCAAACACAAAAGAAGAAGCAATAGTGCTATCCCGTATACTATGTCCTGGGAAATTTGGACATCAACTCGGGCATCGAGATTAGCGATATGTTTGCATCCTTCTTTAAGGGTGAGTATAAACAAGATTCTCTTCAGTGCTCGGAATTATTCGAAAATGAGCCTGCGCCAATTGCTACCATTAGAAAGCTTGAGCTTAGCATCAACGACGTTTACAAAACACTGTTGTCTATGAATACGAGGATGGGCGCTGGTCCGGATGGCTTGCCAAATATCTTCTTTAGTTTTTCACTCCATAATGGTACATTCCCAACTGCTTACGTCTGTGCTATTCACAAGGATGGCCCAAGGTCTGCTGTCTCTAAATATTGGCCAATTTGTATACAATTTGCTCTGGCTAAACTCTTTAAAAATGTAGTTTTTCCTCAACTTACTGCATTTTTTAAGAATATTATCAGCAGCAAACAGCACGGTTTCGTCGGTGGGAGGTCCACTACCTCCAACTGTTCATTTATATTGATTACCTACTCGAAGCTCTAAGCAACGGTCATGTAGTTCATACCGTCTATACGAACTTCAACAAAGCATTAGATAGGTTGGATTATATTATCCTACTTAATAAGCTAAGCAGATAAGGCATTAAAGGTAATGCACTGAGTTCGATCCACTCATGCCTAATTGGAAGGCAATTTCAAGTTAAAGTTGATAAGCATCTATCTACAAAGCACAATGAGACCTCAGAAGTGCCCCAAGGACCACCCTCCTTTCCAATTCTCTTAAATATTTTTGTAAACGATATTGTTGATACCTTTCAGTATGAATATCTGCATTATGCAGACGATTTGAAGATCTTCAGAACGATAACCAGTGAACTAGACTGATCTCCAGAGTGATATCGACAAACTATTGACCTGGTGCCACAAAAACGAACTAAATTTCAACATCAAAAAGTAAAGAAAGATTGGCGTCTGTGTATTTAAATAAATAATACAAGATTAACAAGCATATCAGAAAACGTGCTTACTTTAAAATTTTGTTTTTTCCAAATATTGCCGGCATAGCTATATGTGCGTCTCTTTCTTACGCATTCAAAAATTATGTATGATGATTGTTGCTACTCTTACAACAGATTTTTTTTTAAAAACAAAGTTATATATATTGTGCAATCATCAGCGTATGAGCGGGGAGAGGACACCACCCTGTGAAACCTCCAGTTTATTTCTGATTAGCTTAGAATTGTGACCTCGAAATAATAAGGATGATTGACGTTCGCTCAAATAACTCCTTGTCCATATTTTGAGTCCTAAAGGAAACGTGGACTGTTCAATATCTTCGTGTAGCGTTGTTTGAATGACAGTGCCAAATGCTCTTGACAAGTCCAAGTTTTGATTGAGGCCACGAACCATCCGGGCGTAACTATCTGCGGTGGTGATATGTGTCCTGATGTATCTTCGCTACTGGGGAATGGGGAGTTATCGAGCGATAAAACTCCCCTAAGTTAGTAGGTTTCTTAGATTTCGGTAGTGGGGCTAGGTAGGGTAGGGTAGGTATAGTGGTTGTCTGACGACGCACCT